GCACCAGCAGGACCAGGTGGAGAGCTGGTGGGTTAAACCCTGAGAGATGGCCTTTTTCTTTCGCAGACACCAGGTAAAAACTGTTTGCTTCCTTCAGACAGTAGATTATTACATGGTAACAAGACATGTATTTGCACAATATTTATATAAAGCTGAATTACAAAGATCTGGGATGTGTATGATCTCTTTTACAATTGGTTTTATATTAAAATATGTCTTTGCTTATGAACAAGCCATGAATCCCTTTTCTTGTATAAGAGGAAGTCCATTCTAAGGAGGGGCTGACTCTGGTAGGTTTCTGAGCTGCAAGGAGTGTATTGCAATGGAGATGCAAAGGGGAGACGCCGAGTGGAGCCAACGAACGCACGTTGATTCCTTCGACTGGGCGCTGAGAAAGGGGAACAGCCCTTCGTTCAGCCTGTGTTCGGCTGCTTGTAGCGCGTTTTTCCCAAGCTGCTGGTGAAGCTGTTCTTTGGACCAAGGAACACTGAGTCGGCTTCATCAGCCAAGCTATGTTGTGGGGGGTGGGGGTGGTGGTCCCGACTACATTCTGTGCAAACCCGTGCCTCCTGTTCCCCGTCCTGTATGAACATCCACTGTCTGCACACCCCTGTTCACTGTTGGGCCACCTGCTGTCCTCAGGGTCTGCAACTTTTCTTTCAGGGTGTGGAATACTTATCACACGGCTCCTCAGCTCATTCCTTTAACAACTGCCTGTCTGAGTCCAGTTGGCCCCTTAATCGTCCAGAACTATTTTTCGGGACTGTTGGGCTGTTTTCTTACCTCAGTCTCTAGTTTCAATAATTCCCTGTTCGGGGTCTAGTTTTGCCAGGATATTTAGCAAATAGAACCTTGTTCAGTCTGTCCTCAAGTTAATGAACAGATTCCAAGTTAAAAATAAATTAAAAATAAGGAATTATCTTGTATGAGAAGCTTTTGATCTACATATCGTACCTGACAGCAGAAGAACTGCTTTAAAAATTTGGCTATGTATCGGTACTTCTGGGGGCGTGTTTTTGCTCCCTCTGAGGTGCCGCTGCTACAGCATGTCGTAATGAAGGCCTTCCTGAAGTACACTTAAAGCAGCGCTAGGTGGCACTATTATCCCAACGCATTTTACTGCTGGATTTTGCCCTTGATGTTATGCGCGTCTTTTAGACGCAGTTGGAAGGAATCGATTAACGCCCCACCGGTTTTATTGGAAGAGAATGGGCTTGTGAGGACAAAAATAAATCGTCATAAAAATCTCGGCGATGCTTCCTTCACCTGCAGTCGTTGTCTTTCTCTGTTTGAAACGGCGAGGTTTAGCCTGGCTTGTTGAAAGTTCAGAACCGAAGGACATTCCGTTTAATTATTTGTGGCTATTTGTGTAGGTGCACAGTATGCTGATGTAAGGTAAAGTCAATTTTGATGCTCCACTACAGAAACACTGGGCAATTTATTTCCTACATATTTCCTTCATAAAGGTGCAGCATGTGTTTCTAGTTCTTAATATATTGTATATATTGAAAATCAAAATAGTAATTTGTTTGAGGCGAAAACACTTAAGAAAGGAGAATCAATTATCTCAATAATGAGACAAACATAATAAAATATACACTAGAAATACTGAATAGAGTATTTTTAATTAACAAGTGTGCCTTGACAAAGATATACAACTGTTTTTAAACACAATGGGTTTTTTTTTCTGAAGGCTGCCGGATTTGTAAAAGTCATTACGTGTTTCAAAAATTGGTTAAGGTCTTGAATGCCTGAACATTTGACTTTGCTGTGAGAGGTTCGGGCTTAATTCATTGTCCTGAACGTCAACAAGCCCAATATATATATATATTTTTAGACATTTTAAATGTGCTGTGAGCTAAATCTTAATCGTTCGATCGCTTTTCGACCAAACTTTTACTACTGATGTTTTTGTTGTATATACTCTCGTGTAATTCAGATCTGTATGCTTGTTTGAAGTGTAAAACACTTGCAGTTTACATGTCTTACTTGCAGGAACTCGCTGTCCAAAGTTTTAGAAAGCTGTAGACTGGATAGAACTCCATAATTACTCTACCCTAATTGTGGACGATCACAAAAAACAAAAGTGGAGGTAACTTTAATAAAACGTCTCAGGTGGCCAGGGAAATAAATCAAGTACATCATCAAAACGATATTATCGTTCTGGCACTTCATTTTCCTCGACACGTTTTCGCTTCATCGGTGCAGTGACTCCAGATCCCCCCAAAGTCTTAATCGAAAGGTTACAAAGTCGTTAATGACCGATTAGCGTTAGCGTTAGCCTACCTGAAACGCCACCCTAATCAAGCGTTATACGGTAATCCCTTCAAAGAGATTTGTCGCCTCTATTGTACCAGCGGCCCAGGAGCACACTTCCAAGACTCCAGTCAAACAGGGAATAAAGCCCGGGTCACAGCACTGAAACTCCTTCACTCCAGGCGGCGGCCTCAACAACTGGCCCCTCTGAAGAGCGCGGATCTCGGAGGATGGATGAATGCTCGTCCGTTCCCAACACCGCTGGCTCCCACCAAAGTTGAACAAACTGGGGAAACGCAGGAAAAAAACTCAGATTCGACGGCATGCCTAGAGGAAGACCCACCCAGTGGCATAGTGCCAGCTACCCAGCCACGGTTTTCTCTGCGTGACCTACAGACAAGAATATTTGCAGCCGTTTGCACGCAGAATGCAGAAACTGCACAGTCACTGCGCCTCAAAGGTAAGAACCTTTCTTAGGTCACAACGTTTCGGCCGTGGAGCCTTCTTCAGGTGTTTCACACCTTTGCACGATATTACAAAGCTGTGTCCATATTAAAAAAATATATATATTGCTGTCAGGTAACAGATATATTGCAATGGAATGTCCTGCTCAAACAGGCCAAAAAGACCATTTTAGTTTTCAATTGAGAATCCGCCGTGGAGTCTTGATTCGAGTATTCAGAATCCTAAAAGGGACTGACAAAGTCAAGCATGGGGACGTCTTCAGCATGAACAGGGAGACATGCCTGAGGTCCGAGGGAACCTACAGCAGGCTCAATG